AGACAAAAACATTTTATAGTATATTTGAAGAAATTAATTTAAAGCTTTTTATCATTTATCTATAAGCAATAATTCTCTCATTTAGTAACATACCGGAGGCACAAAGGTGTGGTGCACCTCCAGCGCTTGGAGGAAGATGGCCCTGATCCTTGTCTTCATCATCCCAAAGGCACGCTCTATGATGGAGCGTGCCCTGGAATGATGGCTGTTAAAGCGTAGGGCTCCCACACCTTGTACCGCCCGCTTGAAGGGAGTGATGAGTGGGTGTTGGAGACACGGGTACCCACCATCTGCCAAGATGAAGTGGCCCGGAGGAGGGTAGATGGCCTGCCTGTACAATGGGCTGTTCCGGAGCACTCTGGAGTCATGCACCGACCCCGGCCAGCCCACGTACGTGTCGATGAAGCGGCCCTGATGGTCACAAACTGCCTGTAGAATGATGGAGGAGAACAGTTTCCTGTTCTGATAGCAGTGACCATCAGGACCGCTTGGAGGCTTGATCCTCACAAGGCAGCCGTCGATCGCTCCAGCAGCTTTCAGAAAAGCTCTGTGTCCGGCCAGCCCTTCAAACCCCTGGATTACTGCTGCCAGGTCTTCTGCAGTTTTCGGGAGGCAGATGACTCGGTGGCGGATGGCCACCACCTCCTCAGTAACCCGGTGGACGATGCGGTGAACTGTGGAGCGAGGCATCCCGAACACCCTAGCCACCACTCTGTAGGATGCCCCACTCACTAGCCAGAAGAGGAAGACCAAGGTCTCTATTGTGGCCCCCATCCGTGTCTTCTTTCCTGGCAGAGAAGGTCCAGCAGCACCGCCAGAGACTCTCTGCTCAGCCGTAAGTCTGGTCTGGTGTCGTCATTGTTAAAAAATATCTGGAGAACGGGAACATTCAGATTGATGCGGCAGTACATCGGCCTGGTCTGGAGAGAGAGATGAAGGTTGAGAACAGGATTAGATGACAGCAATTTCATTTTAGCTGATACAATTCTAGTGAATGTTAACCCCTTAACGCCTGGTGTTGCCAATTTGGGACCAAACAATTCTGGCCTTTACTTATTTTACTTCATCTAGATCCACTATTTAACCTTTTTTTTTTTCGTTTTTATATTTATTTTACCTGTATTATTTTTCTGTTATATAATTGCAAATAAAATCAGGCAGTAAGTGGATAACAATTTAGACAAATAAGGATTTATTTCTCAATAATACAGTTTGCCTTCTCCACACAACATTAGTGATAGTGAAAGTGGTGATTTAAGTCAGTTATTTACAGGGATTGTAAACATTTAACTATTCAATTCAAATTACTAAAGTTACAAACAAGCTTATACCAAGTCTTATAAATATATATTTAAAATTTGATATTAAATGATATTCGTCAATCTGCTGACAAGTGTTTGATAAATAACTGGTATATTCTGATCGTTAGCAGACCCTAGTGGGGGAAAATAATAAAGGTAAATGTTACCTCTCCACTGCGCTCTGCCAGCCTCAAATAAATCTGTCGCCGGTTTTGCTGCCGCCGAATCCGACTCTCCTCCTCCAACATCAAGCAAATAAAATAAAATAAAATAAAAATTGCAGTTTCCATTTCGCTAGATCAATCAATCGTCTGATTAATGGCGCGGTTTTTCCTGGGCTTTGTGTAGACGTGATGACGTCGTGACGTAACCAGGAAGTGCTCCAAAGGCTAGACCGTCCCATTTACCAACGGCTGAGGATCCTCCGGAGCAGCCTACCGAGGCTGGGTCCTCCGGAGGCTAGGTAGGCTGCGTCCTTGGAAGTACGCAGCCTGCGAATTGAGACGCAGCTAGTGTCTCCACCCTGCAGAGATATTAGAATCTGAGCTTAAATATCAGCCAAACATATTTACACAGTAACAGATAAAAACCTTTAGATAAACCAAACATTACCGCCACATATCTGACTCAATAATAATTTAAACAACTATTTTCATTCATCTCAGACGGAACTTTTTACACACTTGGATTCTATTAAACGGAACTTCCAATATTCACCACTGTTCGGCGCCATGATAAGCCATTTGCTCGCTGGACTCGCAATGAATCATGGGATACCCAAGGCTACAGAGGATACAGTGGATCCGTCCTTAAAAAAGGGGAAAAAAGGTTCGATTTGTAGGCTGCATAACGAGGAGTTATGAAATCCGACCAGAGCTCGGCATCGCGCCGACATAATCGGCCTACGAATCTGACCTTTGGAGGACGCAGCCCCTGAATTTGAATAATAACTCAGTATCAATGTGCAAAGATTTTTGCCTCCAAGGGCAGAAATACGTGACCAATCCAACAAAGAAATCAGACAGCTTTACTCAACATTAATGACTAAATATTTATCTTGCAAATTTTAAAAATATATATCAATATATTTCAAAATACTTTAATTTTATGTTAGGTTTATTCTTTTATACATCATGTGCGTTGTTATTCTGTTAGCCAGATAGACAGAGTAGAAGGCCTTCCTTCACATTGTGGATGTCACTGTGTGTACGGAGGTCATCTAATCAGGGCAGCCTTCATGTCTTTAACAATACACAGGATATGGGCACATCTTGGAGCCGGACTCATAGGAGAACTATCTGTAACCCTGAAGCATAGAAGCAAGCTGCATGAAGTTCAAGACATGGATGGCGTGTCAGTTTCTGATACGGACAGCTAAACATCCACCTGATGCAACACATAGACTCATGAGCTATAAGAAGCAGGAGATGACCTTGTTCGGGGCTCAATCTTTGCCGGACACTCACGGACGTGATTTTTGAGCCCACAGCTGTGCAAGCTCCAAGCATTTTCTCTGTCCTGTAACGGCCTGATCTGGAATAAACTCTGTTATTTCTTACTCCTGTTTTTATAGTCCTTTTTATATGGTTTTACCCAGTTTGAGTTAAAAGTAGTAAAAAACTTGCTCCCAGGAAAAGAGCCGTGAGGAAGTCAGTCTTCATGCAGATGATGTATTACTCGTTCTCCACACCTCGCTCTCTGTGTGATCACATTTTCTAAAGAATCTCCAATTATAAATTGATCTAAATACACAGTCCTACGTATTTATTGTAGTTTCCAAAAGGCCTCCAATGTACAACTGCAGTCAGAAAATATTAAATATTTAGGCATCAACATCTCTACATAAACATGTGGATGTCATAAAAAAATAAAAACCACATCCCACTATTAAAAAAAGTGGAAGTCCTTAACCAGATCACTACTTGGTAGGGTTGCTTCAATAAAAATGATTGTTTTAACAAAAAATAAATTAGCTATTTTCAATTATTCCAAACAAACCATCCCCAGAATGGTTTAAATATTTAGATTCTTCCATTACCAAATTTCTCTGGAAAGATAAACCCCCACATATCAACTTAAAAACGCTACGGAAGACCAAAGAAAAAAATAGGATTAGATCTGCCCAACTTCTATCATTACTTCCTAGCAAACAGGCTACAATCCAGATGTAAACGGCTAAAAGAAAGCTCACAAGACGAGTCCTGGTTAGATGTAGAAAGTCTATCATCCATTATTAATGTTGCAGATCTTCAATTTATTAGTTTAAACATAGAAAGGCATAGAAGTTTGAACATCATCAGCATTAGCTCATCTTTGACAGCTTGGTGGGAGTTTCTCAGAATGACTGAATCCTCAGCAATACCATGCAACCGCACGGCAATCTTTAACAATCCTGATGTCATGCAAAATAAATCCATCATAAGCTTTCCCGAATACAGTAGGAAAGAAATTAATTCTTTGAACATTAATTTGAAGCAAATGATCTTATCCCATACTGCAGCTTGATTTCACAGTATGAGATTTCAAAAAACATATTTCTAGAATACCAAAAATTATATCTATAATGACAGATTTAAGATTGATAAAGCTGACCTAGATAATTTTTTATGCCCAAAACTACGACAATGTTTTGTGTCGTTGGAGAGAATGTTACTACGGTGACTGAAACAGGTTGAGGAAACACTCTGAAGCGGAAAACCTGATTTCAGGTTAAGAAAACTATTCAGTCTTCAGTAAACATGCATCTTTAAACGGACCCCTGGTCCAAGAGTCCAGCCACAAAGCTTAGCTTGACATGTTAATAACACCTGGTAACTGAACAAATTGTTAGTTATAATCATTTGACCAACACTCACTTTATTTCTTTCCCTTTATTAAATGACTAATCAATCATAACTTGTGGTTACAGTTAATACATTTACAGTTTAACAAGCAAAATTGCACAACAATGAATAACTAAAAAATTTATATGAAGAGCTTTTTGTTGTCTTAAATCATCAGAAACAATTCTTTTTAATAAAACCATATAATTAATCACTTTTTTACCATATTTATTTATTAGAATATTTTTGCTTAGCTCATCAATCTAGAGTTGATTACGTTAATGGAAAACATCCACATCAGAAAATGCATAAAAAACTTGTTATTAAAATAGATGATAGTTTTTTTCAATCAAAGCAGGTAAACAAAACATCTACAACTATCAATACTATACTATCAAGAACAAAATAATAAGAAATAGTTCAAAGCAAAATGATACTAGAAATCCTTAAAAAGTAGATACATTACACATTTGAGTGTGAAACTTCTGTAATACAATAATAAGCTAAAAGCTTTTTTTCCAACCTTAAGCAGGTAAAAACTGATCAGTAAGAACATAAACTTTTAACCAAATAACCGCAACAACTTTAAACTAATGTTTAACTCTTCAAACCAACAATATTCACTGTCTTAGGACTTCAGTTTAACAGCAAAGTACAGACTCCAGCCTCTAAACAGTTTTTTGGTGTTCCATAGTTTAAATATTTACCAGTTTTACAACATTGTACCTTATCTGTTCTAGTTCTCAGTTAATTAATAGAGTACCAAGGTTATTGACAGGTTTATTTTTAGCAAGAAAAATGCCTTTGTCATGTACTGAGGTGAGGGAGTTTGTAGATGGTGTGGTGGGAAAATGTTATTGTTCTTTCCTTCTTTATTTATTGAAGTATGCTATGTATTCTCTAAAAATGTTTTTTCTCAGCTAGTTTGTCTCACTTGCAAGGCCACAAAATGTCTGAGTGGGAGATGGTTATAGACAAGACATACCTTTTTCTCATAACAAAACCACATACTTTTCCAAGGTAACTGTTTAACCAAAGTGTCTGTTATTGTTTTGAGTCTGCCTTAAAAGCAAGGGAACAACTTGTCTAAGGTTAGAACTTGGCAGACCATCATGCTGTGAATGTGAATGTCTTTTTCTCCTTTACTTTGCAAAGTAAATAAAGTGCCGACTGAGTAAATCCATCGATCTCCTTTATTTAACTGGACCAAACAGTTGAAAACTTTTTTCACACAACAATGGATATTTACCACAAGTGAAAAATATGCATGAACAATGTTTCTACAAATCATACAGGAAAACGGCTTCTCACTTGTGTGAATTTCTAATGTGCATATTAAGATTTTTTTTCATTGAAGCTTTTCCCACAGGACAGCCATTCATTCATCTTCTCAACTGTATGAATTTTCATGTGTCTGATCAAATTACCTTTTTGAGTAAAACTTTTTCCAAAATTTGTACAGGAGAACGGCTTCTCACATGTGTGAATTCTCATGTGTCTATCAAGACTAGATTTCACAGTGAATTCTCTTCCACAGGACAGACATTCGAAAGGCTTCTCACCTGTGTGAATTATCATGTGGGCTTCAAGATTAGATTTCTGAGTGAATTCTTTTCCACATGACAGACATTCGAAAGGCTTCACGCCTATGTGAAGTCTCATGTGGGTTTCAAGACTAGATTTCTCAGTCAATTCTTTTCCACAGGACAGACATTCGAAAGGCTTCTCACCTGTGTGAATTCTCATGTGGGTTTCAAGATTAGATTTCTGAGTGAATTCTTTTCCACATGACAGACATTCGAAAGGCTCCACGCCTATGTGAAGTCTCATGTGGGTTTCAAGACTAGATTTCTCAGTCAATTCTTTTCCACAGGACAGACATTCGAAAGGCTTCTCACCTGTGTGAATTCTCATGTGGGTTTCAAGATTAGATTTCTGAGTGAATTCTTTTCCACATGACAGACATTCGAAAGGCTTCACGCCTGTGTGAGTTCTAATGTGAACCATTAAATTGCCTTTTTTTAGAAACACTTTTCCACATGTCAAACATGTTAAAGGTTTCTTTCCAGTATTTAAAGTCTTCTGTTCCAAAACAACCTGCTCTTCGTGCTCACTAATGAGGAGCTCAATGGTTTCCTCTCTTGTCCCGTGATGTTCTGGCTTTTGCTGTTCTCCTATCTGCAGAGGTTCTGGTTCCGCTTGATCCAACCTGGATCTCCTTTCCTGTTCAGAGGACCACTGCTCAGAGAAAACCTCTTCTTTTCCATCATAATGCTGGAGGCGGTCTGGAAAAACAAACACAGGAGAAAGACTTTCTATTCGTAGGTTAAAAAAAGGATACTTCACCTTAAACATCCATGTGATGATCAAACTCCATATAACCAAAACAGAAATACATCCCCCAGCATGCACTGCAGCACTGACATTACATGTTATAACTGAACAGTCAATGCTGCTCTGTCTTCAGGAAAGGGCTTTTAGCTAGCCATATATACAGCCATACATTGTACGCCCTTTACTAAAAAAGGTAAAATTGTACGGCCTGTTTTTCCCCCGGGAAACTAAAATGTTCAAATTTGCTGAAGGGGAGTGGCGGCCTAGGGGTCAGGGCATAGATGTTGGAATCCTGAGGTTCTGAGTTTGAGTCCCACTCCCACAGACTGCCACTCTGGGTCTCTGAGCAAAGACCCTTAACCCCACACTGCTCCCTGGGTGTCCCACGATGGCAGCCCACTGCTCCCCAAGGGGATGGGTTAAATGCAGAGGTAAATTTCTCCAATGGAAGATCAATAAAGTTCAATGATTATTATTATTATTATTATTGACGGATTATTATTGGAAGTCTGAATCTGCAATAGGTAAACAGCTTGGTGTGAAGAAATCAACTGTGGGATCAATTATTAGAAAATGGAAAACATACAAGACCACTGATCATAGGCGGATCTACTGGGGTGGCATAGGGTGGCAAATGCCACCCTAAATGACAGCCTTGCCACCCCAGCTGCCACCCCAGTTGGCGGTAGGGGTGGCGAGGCTTATAAATTATGAATCATTTGAGAATTACCGACCGCTAATTTCTAATGTCGGACTGCAGTGAATGCAGCACGAGATGACGCGAGAGCGACTGAGACTGATTGTTTTGAAAACCGAATGAGGCAAAGCGAGGGAGCCAGGGGTGATGGGGAGAGGAGACACAGGATGAAACAGGTAGAAACTGATTAACTATCGAGAAATGAAATCATAATGAAAGCACAATGTTGCTAGCATAGCTGTAATGCTGATTTACAGATGATAAAAATCAGGTTGCAGAACGTTATTTCTCTATCTATGATGTTAGTTAGGCCTGACGTCTCAGCCTCATAAAGACATATTTGCGGTCAACTATGACAGAAAAGAGACTATCAAGTTTGGTTGTACTCAAATCAAAACGCACAAAGGCATTGGATCTAGATAAAGTTGTGAAGCGTTTTGCTGAGCAACATGGAAATCGCAGCATTCAGCTGTTATAGTCATGTTAACTTTATGTTCTGCTCTCTGGTGAGCCTTTACAGAGCTGTTACATTTTGTTTTGGCACCTGAGAAAATCTGATATTTCCTTTAATAAAACCAAAAGTGTTAAAAGTTAAAAATGTGAAACTGGTGTAAATCCTGCTTAATATGAAGCAGTGTTGTTGTTTCTTTTTTTGTATATATAGTATGAAATTATCCAGAAATGACCCGTATGAACCTACTCACAAGCAAAATGTATTTTTTATGTTGCTTCTTTTCAGATTTGTGGAGATTTTGATGTAACAAACAGAACCCGCCTTTTTGTTGATTTGTTGATACAGCAGTATGGAGGACCAACTCTGCCATATTTAAAAATAAATACAGAAATAAATAAATGCTTAATAAATAAATAAGCATACAATTCATTGCCACCAAAAATACAAACAACAAATAAATGTAAGTAGAAATTAAATTATACAGCTAGTCATAAAGGTATATAATAGTGCTGTCAAAATTATCGCGTTATTATCGCGTTAACGCGAGGCCATTTTAACGGCGATAATTTTTTTAACGTGAGATTAACGCTATGTGGTTTTATGGTACAATTTTCCAAGTACATCCCGCTGCAGCCTGCGGGAAGGCGGGGCTATTTTCCCCCAGTGTATGCATTTCTCATAGGCTTCAAGAGCGGAGCTCCTCAAGGGAAAAAGACGCTCATACACTGGGTGACGCTAGTGCCTTTTCTTTAAGCCCCACCACCAACAAACAAGTTGAGTGTCTGGTAACTAGTAGCAACCTGAAATACGCTGAGAAAACAGATTACTGAGGTGAAATGGAATCTGCTACGGCACTCTTGCTGTCTGTGTACGCCACAGGTCGGTATCGTGTGTGTGTGTGTGTGTGGGTGGGTGTGTGTGTGTGGGTGGGTGTGTGTGTGTTCTCATTTTTGTTAAGAGTCTGAAAAGTAACTTTCTAGAGCATAGACTACCTCCATCTAGGGATGTCGGTCTATTGATTTTGATGTATTGATTGAAAATTGTTCATTATTATCTTGGTTAATTAACATCTAATGTTAACTGTACTACATTTTATAGCAGTAGGGTAAAATGCTTGTCTTTGTTCAAAAGACTGTATTAACTGTAAAGACTGTCTTTTACATCAGCCTGTTTTCAGGGCCTTTTTTTTGGCTACATATTTGTTATTTTTTGCTACATGCCTCCCCATCTTCTTGCCATATGTTTCTATGGCATAAATCAGTATCTGTGACCTGTTTTCATTTTAAAAAAAGAACATTGGCACAAACCTAGCCTGTATGTATTTTTTGTATGTCATCGAGAGTATTTAAATGATTTTCAATCAGAAAAAAAATTTGCGATTAAAATGCGATTAATAGCGAGTTAACTCAGGCATTGATGCGATTAATCGCGATTAAAAAAATTTAATCGATTGACAGCACTAGTATATAACTCTTTTAATTGGCTTCTTTATTTCTCTGCCTTTTTAATATTTACCTTATTTATTTTTTTGTCATTTATTATCTTCAACTTCATTTTTTTATTACTTATATTTTTAAGTATTTATTTAAGTGCATGTTATAATATTTTTGTCTGTTTTATTCTTCCTTTGTATTTTTTTTACCCTAGTTATTTCTTCGCCGCTATTTCTTTCTGCCTGCCCTTTTAACAGTTCTGCCTGCCATTATAATATAATTTATAATTGTATTTATTTGTTGATTGTATTTTTGGTGGCAATTAATTGTATGCTTATTTATTTATTGAGCATTTATTTATTTCTGTATTTATTTTTAAATATGGCAGAGTTGGTCCTCCATATACAGCTCTATCTACAGCATATTTACATGCATGAAATGTCCCTTTCATGTTGCCTTAACTGCTGTATGTCAAGTTACTGAGGAACAAATGGGGTAAATGTGTGTTCAGAGTAAACATTACATAGATGTCCAGTACCTTGTTCGGGTGCCTTGACCCATTTATTTCTACTGTGTAGTTCTGCTCACTTTAGTGCAGCTCAGTCCATAGATCTCTGATGGGAAACTTTTTCTTTCTATAGTTTCTTCTTGTGCAAATGCTGCAAAGCTGCCTCTCTGACAGTCAATCTCACACATCTATACTCAGCACCTGTGTCTTACCTTAATACCTTTCCTGTGATAAGGCCCCTCTAGAAGTAGTGTTATCATTCTTCTATCTCCTATTAATTGACATCACATTGTACGATGTATTATTAATATAAAATGTTTCACATGAAACATTAGTACTGTACAATCTATTCTCACCAAACTCAATACTTGTTTTCAGGCTTATGTTAACTGTAATGACTTATCTTGGACAGGCTGCTATGTAAACGGGCCTTTAGTCCTTCGATTAGCTATGCGGCGGTTGTTTACCCTACGCCTTTTCCACCTAAAATGGCGTCTTAGCAACAAATGTCACGTGACTGGCGGAGACTGATTGGAAAGGTGGCTCTGTTGGAAAACCTAGGACGCATCCGTAAATGACTGGATTCGAAGGCCGATTACGTCATAGCGGGGCACCGAGGTCTGGTCGGATTCCAAGAGTCCTCGTTATGCGGCCTTAAAATGCGTCCTTCTTTTTGCCCGATTTGAAGGACGGGTCTGATGTATCCTCGGTATTCTTGGATATCCCAGGATTCATTGCGAGACCAAGCAAGCCATGATCAGAGGAAAGGTTACTTGGCGCCGACCAGTGGTGAAAATTGGAAGTTCAGTTTAATATAATACAAGTCATTTAATAGTTCCGTCTGAGATTAATGAAAAATAGATGTTTTAATGGTTATTGAGTCAGATATGTGGCGGTAAAGTTTGATTTATCTAAAGGTTTTTATCTGTTACTGTGTAAATGGGTTTGGCTGTAATTTAAGGACAGATTCTAATATATCTGCAGGGTGGGGACTATAAATCTGATAGGATTTTTATCTTTTTATTGCTGTTTTGCACAATATGCTTAACTACGTATTTTTTGTTGTTGAATATTAGAGATTTTGCAGATATATTTTTTTATAAATACATTGTTTAGATTTACAGCAGCAGAAAGATTATTGAAAATGGTCACACAAATGTGGACCTTAGAAAAATGTATAAGAATAACATAATAGGGAAGAGTTAAAATATAAAAAAAATAATTCTGTAAAGTGTTTTAACAATATAAAACTGGGGAATAAATAACCAATATGCAGCTATGGACATTTTTACAGTAATTAGAAAATAGCAGCAACATCAGAGATGTGCAGAATGACAGCAGCAGGTTATTTAACTGACTAAGGTTTCTATCATTACATTTGATTTTATCTGTTCCTGCTCCCGGTGGTTGGAACCTTTATTCAACTCTGGATTCTTGTGAGTCTTTGTTCACTTCACAATAAAAAAGAAATAAATAAACAGTTTTGAAAACTTCTGTATTCATTCTTTTCCTGCTTTGTGTGTCAACGTTCACGGTTGCTAAGCAACAGAGCATACGGCGGTAAAACCCACCGAAGGGTAGACCTGGTCGAATTCACAGCCTAAACTCTTCCGGTCTCCTTATTTTCAAGGACCCAGTCAAGGATCCAGTCTAGGTAGACCGCGTCCTTGGAGGACACGTCCTAGGTTTTCGAACAGAGCCGGTGTTTCCTACCTATCCGGTGTAAGATGATCTGGGGGATCCTGGTGAAATCCAGCAGTCTGTGCTGATCGTCCATCTCCACTTTGGGTCTTCCTTTAACCTCCGTCAGTGTTTCTACTGCTCGCTGATAAACTCTCCTTGAAGCTAGATGATGATGATCGGAAGCAGCCTTCGGTAAAGTTTGAAATTCAGCTTCTCCGGATCAAGAACTCATGTTTCTTCTTCCAAAGCAACGTCTCTCTAACTGACAACCTGGCTGTTGTCAGGTTAACGTCTCTCAGCCAGGGGCGGATTTACCATTAGGCAAAACTGGGCAGTTGCCTAGGGCCCCCGAGTTCCTGGGGGGCCCCCTAAAACTCCTTTCACATGTATGGTTAATAGAGCTATTACTTATTTGTGCACATTAATTATGTTTTTGATAAAAAATCCTTTCGCTAAAATGCCATTGGAATGCTTATAATATTAAGTGTGTCTCGGGGCCCCCCCTACAGTGTCCACTGCATTGGTTCAGTCCATTTGCTGCATGGGCAGAAAGGTCCAAACACAGGCAGCAAACTAATTGAAAAAAAAACGGCGCGAATGGACGATATGAGCAGAGCGGGGGAGAAGAGAAAAGAAAGGAAAGAAAGATGAAAAGAAGTTACCCTAGCGGTGCTGAAAAGAGGAAAAAAATTAAAAGTATGAAGCTGCTTTCAAAGTTACCGAAAATGACTGACTTCCCCCCAGATTATACTATATTAAAATATAGTAGCAACAGATCGGTAACTAGAAATTATAGCTTAATTTTTATACATTCCAAAAAAACTAACACCGTTTATTTAAATGATACGATGCAAACTATTGGTTATTCACCAACCAGGAAGCAGATTTCTCATCTCCATCAAAATATTTATTTTATACCGAGGGACTAAAAGTTTAATCAAAACCATTCAAAAGAAACTTCTTATTACAGGAATGTATGAAGAGATGCTGAGTTTGGAAGTAGAGAACAAACAACGTTTATTCAAAAAAAGCTTTGAATTATCCTAGTTATCCCCGTTACAAAAATCTACAAATATATATATATATATATATATATATATATATATATATATATATATATATATATATATATATATATATATATATATATATATATATATTGGGCAGAAACTGAACACATGCTGAAAGCTGATGGGGATTTTTTTAATATGTCATATTAAATTAAGCGCTCACAGGGTTCATACAGGAATGAGTGACTCTAATTTAATGCTATTTTAATGCCATCAACAAGAACCATGTACACAAGTTATTAGTGTACCTGAAATATGCAGGAGCTGTAAGCACAGTTCCATGACTCCTGTATGTATGTAAACACACACACACATATTTATATATTCTATAGCTTTTTCTCCACCTCGAGCTTCCTTTCCGAACATACGGCTTTATGATCAGTTTCACGCAAATTAATCACGATATAATATATCTGACGAAATAGTTTTTATAAACATTTTTACCCTCCTGTCGTCCTTGGGGTCAATTTGACCCCATTCAATGTTTATCATTCAAAAAATAGTAGTTAACTTTTTTTTTTTTTGCTTCATATTTCATGACTTTTCCTAATTTGATGGGGACAACTGGTAAAGCATAACATTTTTGTGATGTTATTTTTTGAACGTGCTGAACACATATTACACGCATTGGTTGTCCTCTGGGGTCAATTTGACCTCAAGCTGTTTTAGCTGCTAAAACTTGTCAGTGACCTAACATGACCACACCTGCAGGTGCAGAGTTGATACATTTGAACTGAGACATCTGGGGATCTGTGTGACCTTCTGAACTCACACCTGCCAAAGTAGAACTGATTTTTCCCGCCTTTTTCCCAGCCACATACAGCTGTCGACGCATGACTGCCCGTTGCCCCCTTGTCATCTTCTTCCACATCATTGATGTGAGTGCATATAATGCGTTCGTGATTTGGTGTGAGATAAACAAAGACTGGAATAGGGGAAAACTCAGCCGAAGGAGTCTTTTCCTGGAGGAGCTTGGCAATGCACTGGTCAGGCCTCAAATTGAGAGAAGACAGAGCCTTCCAAGAGCATCACCAGTTGCTGCAGCTATTGTGAGGGACATACAGAGGGAGAAAAAAACACCCCAACTCCTCCAGTGGCACAAACTGCAGGCAAGAAACGTGGCAGGTGTCAGGTCTGTCCCGTCCGAAACGACTGCAAGACCAGCATGACCTGTTCAAAATGCGAAAAGTATGTCTGCAAGGCGCATGCACACACACTCTGCACATCCTGTGTACAGTAGTGCAGACTAAACGCTTGGCTACTGTGGCATGAACTGTTCCACGTTTTAGCTACTGACATTATCACACTGTTCAAAATGGGTGGATTTTCATGTTGTTTCTCTCTAAAAACTGTTCCATGTTCTAACTACTACGTGACATGTTCTCATTATCCATTTTCTGTCACACAAATGAAAAAAAAAAACAGAAAAAACAACCAAAAAAATCATAAAAAAACAAAAACAAACAAAAAAAACTCTATAACTCTGCCATTGCCGGTCCCAAGCCCGGATAACAAGAGAGGAGGGGTGAGTAAGATCCTACAGTAACTAGCAACAAATATATTACAACAAAATAGATAAAAATAAGTAAATAAATATGTTTATGAGAGGAAAGGGGGAGTCACCAACATTAATCAATATGGTTCATTTGGTGAGAGTCATGAATGTGCTCAAAACCTGTAAATTTAAACTCATTTTCATTTAAAGGTTTGGCCTGATGGTGGCGCTAGAGGGAAGGTCAACTCACTGATTTTCAAGGGGTTATTTATGTATTCAACAAATAAACAAAGTGCCTGTCACAAAAACTTGGTCAACAATATTCTGTAAATCATTTTCTGGAGGTAAATATCCTTGGGGTCAAATTGACCCCAAAGACCAAATTTGTTACTATATTTGAGGACGATAGGAGGGTTAAAGAATCATAAATGCGCAATAAACATATTTAATTAATTTTAGTGCCAATTAAGGCCTTGATTTAAAAAAAGAAATTATGAATTGTAATTATTTTTAATGATCCGCGAAAACGCTGGTTCATCTCGCGCATGCCCTCTACGATCTCCAAGGAACTCAGAGCGGAGCGGACGGGAGCCACAGCGGCGGCTGTAGGCTTTGCTTTGCGCAGGCGGTCTGGAGCGCAGCGGAGCGGAGCGCTGACGGAGTATGTGGGATTTGGGGGTTCGGCTTCTTCACTGCGGCAGCGGCGAGCAGCAGTAACCCGCGAACATTGAAACTCAACGGTAACGCTGGCGCCTGTTGAGGAGGATCCATGGTGTGGAGTTGAACAACTAGTGATTATTAAGCTGTCGAAGGGGACATTCCCCCTATATTGATAAGTATTTATTTACCTTATTGAAGATGGGTCATTTTAAAGTAAGTTTCTAATTTCATTTGGATTTGCTACAAACGATGAAAAATCTATTATTTAGGTGTTTTTTATGTTGAATTTCAGGAAAATCTCAGGCTTTTAAATGTTGTAAAATCACCCATAAGTTTTAGGTGTTTTAGTCCTTAATAATTTAAGTTATACATTCAAAAAACATAAAGAAGTTATTACCAACATCTCACTCTGCTTTACAGCTTTGTATTTACATTGCTTTAATGTGTGTTATTGTGTACAGCTGGGGATGTTAGGGGTCACATTAATTATAGATTATAATTTACTGTTCTGTAGTTTAAGCAATTGTCATATTTGTAACAACACTAGTCTTTCCTGTGACATGCACCTTTTATTTATTTATATATACACACACACACACACACATATATATATATGAGAGAGAGAGATTCTTTCCTCCGAGTTAAAGTGACATAGACAAACTTGAAGATACATGACATCCTCAAATTTCTATTCTATTAAAATTTCTGTATCTGTATAATGGGTCTGTTCTATATGTTGTCTTCTCAATTCAGAGGGCCCCATGCCTGTCTTTGCCTAGGGCCCCAAATTTCCTAAATCCGCCCCTGGTCATTAAAGTACAAGCACTGAACAAGCAACGGGCTGTCTTGCCATTGTATGTGGTGAAGGTGGATGCTCCACCATTGTTTGGCAGAGAGTGGTTGAGAGCCATTCAACTGAATAGGGCGTTTTCAGGTGACGTCACGCTCACGTGACTACTCAGCGCGTCCGCCATATTGGGTGGCAGTCGTTTCGCTCCGTTGACCCTGCATTGTATGACGCCTTAGGCAGTATTGACAGTGAAAATGGTGAAAACATGTTTAATTGTTGGTTGCACGGCCCGTGGAGGTGGAGATCAACGCTCTTTCTATCACATACCAGCAATAATCGTGAATCAATGTGAAAAAACAAAACAGCTATCTGAACAACGCCGTCACCTATGGCTGACACGGATATCCAGGTCCGATTTGGACGGTGTGAAGCTGGAATATGCCAGAGTCTGCAGTGCTCACTTTGTCACAGGTAATTAAATGTCAAGCATTTAAAACATGTAAGAATATATTAATAATAGGGCTTGGGCGTCATGACGTATTACTTTCCGTGGCCGCAATGTTGACTGCCTCTGCCGCCGCTACTCAGACAACTGCCTATGACTACCGCGTACTGGACTCCCTCTCTCAGCCGTGTTTTAATTTGATTAATTTCACCTTAACTTGATTTCAACCAGCGGGAAAAGGCTCAAATATGTGAGAAACCCGGAGGGTTTAGGGAGGTTTGGCAGTTAACGTTACTAACCAAACCTTTGAAACACACAGCAGCTAGTTAAAAGTACATTACATGCCTGAGTGGTTGTTAGCACTAACGGTTAGCACTGTTTGCTGGCTTTATGAGCTGCAGCTCCTGAACCCATCCATTCGTAAACTGCACATGAGACTCCAAGGACTTGTAGCTTTGGAACTGTTCTGAAGTATAGGCGCTCACACCACAAACAAGGTAGCCGAAGACATCTGATATGCAAAACAGTGGCAACAAGTCATTGTTTGGAACTTCATATGGATCCAAATTATTAATAATACTGATTTTGTCAACATACCGGTCCCTGGCTTTTCTATTTAATGTGTCCCGGTAAATTTCAGATCCTTTTTGGGATTTTAACATCTTTTTTCTATCTATTCTTTCTCAACTCTACTTCTACGTCTCTTCGTTCAACAACGTTAGGTCAGAGGTATTTTAATGTTGCGTTGCAATCTACATGGCAGCCACGTCCTACAATGCAACGTGGATCCCAAGCCCTATAATTAAACAATATATCTATTTGGGGTTTAGTTAAGCCTGGCTGCAGCCTACACTGCTACTTGACCTA